TCGACTTCTTGTTAAAAACCGCAAGTGCAATTGCTTTGATATTACATATATAGGTACTACATGTGGACCTCTCTCAGAATTGTTCATTTTGTAATGATATCTTTAATTCTCTAATTTTGGTGAATATTTTTATCATTTTTGGTAAAAAGTGATATTTTCGACTTCTTGTTAAAAACCACAAGTCCGATTGCTTTGATATTACATATATAGGTACTACATGTGGACCTCTCTCAGATTTGTTCATTTTGTGATGATGTCTTCAATTCTCTAATTTTCGTGAATATTTTTGTAATTTTTGGTAAAAAGTGATATTTTCGACTTCTTGTTAAAAACCAAAAGTTCAATTGCTTTGATATTACATATATAGATACTACATGTAGACCTTTCTCAGATTTGTTTATTTCGTGATGATATCTTCAATTTTTCTAATTTTGGTGAATATTTTGGTCATTTTTGGTAGAAAGTGATATTTTCGACTTCTTGTTAAAAACTGTAAGTCCGATTGCTTTGAAACTATACATATTGTTCATTTTCTGATGATGTCTTCAGTTCTTTAATTGAAATGTGCATTTCTAACAGCGGAGCTATCTCAGCCGATAGGCTGCTTGTTTATAATACTGGTTTAAAAACGCACTTCAAAGATTGCAGTGTTTGAAGATGTAGATTCTCAGGAGGCAACAGTACTGTTGAATTCTCTCTCCACTGGACACCAACTAAATATTTAAGTTGATTTGCATACAAAGCAGACCCTGCAACATGATAGCTATTCATAGAGGGCGTTTTTTTTACTATAATACAGTAGTCACACAATGAATATAATAAGGCAGTTCATATTTGTCTCAGTGAATCATTAATTGTTGACATACACCTGTACAAAATACTTGGACAAAAGCCAGCTAAAATTATCTTGCATGTTTTTATACTAAAATATCCCAATTACTTTGAATAAAGCTGGAAATTATGTCCCTTAAAATAATTAAACAAATTAGACACCAATGTTTTTGTAAGATATTTACATTTATCAAGGACATTTGGTAGACTGTTTTCCCACTGTTGTTTCAACCCCAAAACTTGTTTGTATTCAAAATTAATTATGGCAATGCGTATTCATATTGAAACAAACTATGATAAAGGGAATAATATTGTATAACAAAGGGCAATGTCACCAGAGTTCAACTATGTTTTTGTCAAGCTTTTACATTTTGAAACATAACATATATAACATTATATTTGTACAATATGTGTGTACGTGCATTAACACATCTTCTGCACATTAAAAATTCATAACATGTGTTGGATTTAAAGATTTCAATCAATGGACTTAATTCTTAAATCTCTCTTAAGTTTCTGAATAGATATGTTGTTTAATATTTGCATGAATTATTAATACTATAATATTAAATAATACAACATGTAGGACAGTCTTGGTGTAACTTAAACTTCCAAGCTGGCTATGAGCTTATTTTACCTATTCATGAATTTTTTAATTTTTTTAAGCCATCAATAATTTCAACTTTATAGTATTTACCCATGTTATAAGATGAGATAAATTTAGGCAGATTACTTCAATCCAGATTAAAGCTAGTTAGCTGAACTTACATTTGTATTGTAATGTACACATCATACAGTTCTCATGTTACTTCAATCACTTTTCAGTTTCATTATTGTAATAACATTTTTGTTGAATGAGATCCAAGTTCAAATTCTATCAGTGTTGAACATCAAGAAGAATGTTTGAGTTTGCCCACAGACTAATGGAAGGTTAAAGCCACTGGCTGAGATTTATTCACTAATGCAACTGTTTATACGCTATCATTGATCTCTTGAATTGCATTTTTATTGCTATTGATTGATTAAGGTAGCGGGACTATTATTTGCATACTTGTTTTCATCTTCTAATTGTGACTGAATGACTACAAATAGACCCGGGAAAGTATATATTTTTAGAATCGCCAGACTTCAAGCTTTTCACAAGTGTATTTTGCATGCCCGTATCTGCATTCTACGACGCGTTACTCAATCAAAGGTGAAAAATTACTTTTTCTGTAAAAAAATAATTACGCATTTATGCTGGCGGTAAGAAGTATTTTTTTCACTTTTCCTAGTTGTTCAATAGTCTGGTAAATTGAATGTGTCTGGTCAGTTTTATTCAAGCAACGCGTTTTAATAAATAGTGTGCTGAATTTCAATTACTGTTTTAGTCGCATTGCCCCCAACTCAAACCACAACTCGTTGGTAAATAATCGATGAAATAGTTTGTCTTGACACATTCAAGTTCCTCTCATTGTCACCTTAAAGCTGTGAAAATTTGGTGTTAATCCGACGACAATAAGTATACGTTATTTTTTGTTAAAGACCTTGTATTTTGAAAAACATAAACT